TGCTTCATACAAGTCATATCAACTGATGCCCAACTTAAGTTATTTAATTTTCCTTTGGGATCAATAAAGTATTTCTGAGTTGAGTTTGAATTGAAACAGAAACAGGTCAGTGTCATCTCATCGTGCTTTTGGTAATACGCCAAGTTTTACGAAAGCTGAACAAAGGATATCTTGGAAAATTTGAATACAGATCAGAAATATAGCCTAAAATTAGGCAGATTCAGAATTATGGAACATCTTTGAGAAGATTTAGAAACTTATTTGAAAAATCAGTTAAAGAAAAATGATGCATTATTTTAAAATTATTTACAAATAAAAGTCTGACCATAGCAATTTGCCACAAGTCATATAGAAGCAAAGATGTGGAAGAGGATGTTCACAACAGAAGAAGAAGTTCACCACAGAAGAGATCAAAATTTAACTTTTTAGTTTACTTGCAAATTGCTCTGTGGCAGAAAGAAATACATAAGCTGCATATTGCTCTGAACATACAGTACCCGAGGGAGGGACATAGTGGCTGCATTATGCTGTGGGGGTACCTTTGTTTACCAGCGACAAGGAAGTTGTTCAGAGTTGATGGGAAGATTAGGGCTGAATACAGGGAAATCCTGGAAGAAATGTTGTTTGAGGCTGCAGAAGAGGTAGAGAGTCACCTTCTAGTGAGACAACATTAAAGATAAAGAGGTAAAATGAAAACAGAATGGCTTGAATGAAAGTAAGTATATGTATTAGAAAAGAATTGTCTGGTCCATAAAATCCTATATTTTTTAGTTTGAGGTTGGAATATGACAAAATGTGAAAAAGTTCAGGGGTGATACATATTTTTAAAAGGCACCCTACGGTTCGATCCAGGCAGTGAGCAATGCAATGAGATTTGCATAAAATGAGACAAAGAACAAGTTGAAAACTCTCATGCAAGTGCAAATTCAAAATAAAAGCACAATTTTAATGCATACAATTTGAATAATTGCATCAGCCACACCAAGTTTAATGCAGACAATTATAACATTTAGATCAGGTACACCAAGTTGCCATTACTCTCCATTCTTATGGTCACCAAAATATGCATTTTACAAGTGAATAGTAACTAACTAATAGATGAACTAATTCAAAAGACATTTTAAAGCAAAACAAAATGTCAAGGCCAGAAATACAACAAAAAGGAAAAGTTTGGAAATAAATCTAAATGTACTTATCATGACAAATACTATACACCTATATGTATAT